CGTTTTCCGGGTGGAAGAGGACGTGTGGGTTGCGGCCTGTTGTGTTTGTTTCGCTCGCAGTGATGGCGGGTAGTGTAGGCAAGTGGAAGGTCCATTTGGCAGTATGGGCGTGGGGGGCGGGAGGGGCACGATGCGCTTCTTTGGCGGGAGGTGGCTTTTCAGAATTTCAAATTCTTATTTTCTGTGGGATTTTTCTCGTGCTTTCTCTGTATTTTTGTTTTTCTTGTTTTTTTTGGGTTTTTTTCTGGGGCAGCGATGGCGGGTAGTATGGGGGTGGAGGCAAGTGGAGAGTTTTSTTGGAGTAGTATGMRCGTGATGTTCGGRAGGAGACGTTGTGCTTTATTTGTTTTTTTTGGGGGGCGTTTTTCTTCTTTGTAGAGTCGGGTTRTCGTTAGGGGGCCGGTTGGGTGTYAGTGCTGGTTTTATGTRGGCTAGAAATTGCAAGTGTTTGGGGGAGGGGAGAAGGGGGGGTGGRTTGGTGAGAAGGGAGGTTGCTTGTTTGGGTTTGGTAGGAGGGTCAGTGGATAACAGTGCTAATTTGGGGTGGCCTTAACATGTGAGGGCGTGTGAGGGGTGGGTGGGGAGGTAAAGTGTAGGTGTGTAGGGGATGTGGGTATGGGGGCCTGGGGGTGGAGGGCTCAGTGCCGATGTTATTTTTGGTGTATGGTGATATTATAGGTGGGGATGACGCGGGGTGGTATGTGGGGGGTGCGAGTTTGGGGCCGATGGGTGGGGCATCGGTAGCAGGTCAAAAATATTTTTAATCTTATTATGGGCACATGTGGGTGGGGAGATCACGTGTTTGGTGTGTGTGGGGKGTGTGTGTTTGGGGCCGGTGGGGGGGCACCAGGTATATGAGGGTGCATGGTGAAAGCTCGGAGCGTGTGTAAATTATATATGTAGTGTGTGTGTGTGGTATCTGTGTTTGTCAGAAGAGAGGATTTTTTTTTTTTTAAGTGGGGGTGAGGTGCAGTAATGTGCTTAGGTGTTTTTTTTTCAGGGTTTAAAGGTGAATGTGCGTGTGTGTGTGTGTGTGTGTGTGTGTGTGTGTGTGTGTGTGTCCCTCCCTCTTTCCCTCGTGATGGAGTAGGAGGGGGGGCAGGACCGGATGTTGGACCTGCCCCCCTCTCACAGGGGTACCAGTCCTCCATCCGATCCAACCAGCATTGGTTTTATAGCTGGCTCACACATACGTACTAGGGTGGGTTGTTTGATAGAGAATAGTTTTTGTAAGCTCCGGAGAGCATCTAAAGGGTTGGTATGGTGTAGGGTTTTGTAGTACTAGGTCTACGACCTGCATGCATCTCGTACGTGGGAAGCCGTTTTGGGTCATTGTTTCGACTAGATTGGATATGTGTCTTGCCGCATTGACTGGTTCGGAGTCAATGGTCATGATGGTGACAATTTGCGGGATGAGTGTTTTAATTGATTGTGTTATGGGTCTGTTGGAATGGAATTTTACAAGTTTAATAATTTGGAAATTGAGGAGGTTTCTTTTGTCAAATTTGGTGGTGGTGTACGTTCCGGTGTTGGGATCATGGATTTTGATGTTGACATTGAGGAAATCACAATCGGTACCAACAATATTTTGTGGTAGGATGGTGGTGTACCGGGTTTGATCATTGATAGTGACGTATTTGAGTGGGTATAGGTAGTAGGTACTTCTTTGGGACGTTATTTCTGGGTTGAGGAACTTAGGGATGAGGGGATTGTTGATGATATAGAGGTCGTCGAAATATCTAAATACGTTGGCGAACAGGGGTAAGAGGTGCTGGTTCTTGGTATGGCACAACTTCTTCATGAATTTATATTCGTACATGAAGAAGTATATGTTACACCAGAGGGGTGCGCATCTAACTCCCATGGGGATGCCAAGTTGTTGTCTCCATGTGTGGTTGCCAAGGGAGGTGTACACATTTTTTATGAGCCATGTGTTCATGGCAATGATGGTTTCAGGATGGAGTGGCAGGTATGTGCTGTGTGATGGGAGAGCCCAGAAACACTCAAATTTAGTGGTGTCATTAAGGTGGCAAATTTTGCAGTAGAGGGTGGTATTTCTGCCATTGCTTTTCCTGGCATGGGCTAAGGCAAGTAACACAAAGAATCTAACAGCTCGTGGTAGGCCATTCTCGGAGTCGTTTGTCGGGATAGTTTCGTAGCATCTGGTGATGTCCCCGGCAAAGATGGAGTTGACCTTCAGAGGGAGGTTGTAGATGTAGTCTGTAGTAGAGTCGATGATCCACCAGAAGGGGATGCTGTGCCCTGTTTTTTCCAGCGTTTCTTGAGAGAGCAGACCACAGTGTTTTTGGACTTCGAGTTTTAATTTGTTTAGTATAGTGGCACAGAGATCTGCGAGGGGGGTGAAGACCACATCAGCAGCGTTGGTGAGCCATCTGAATGTATTTTTATGTTTTTTATATGTGGCGAAAAGGTAGGGGATAGTAGGTTTGCCAAGGGGGATTCCTGGGAAGCGGGTAGAAATTTCGTGTGCAAGATAGTCTGTGAGTTGCTGGTGTGTTAGGGGGTAGGGTGTGAAGTCCGTACCTGAGAGATGTTGCAACGCTAAGAAGCACAGTAAGTTTTTGCAGCAGACTACAGGGGTGGTGGGTGCTTTGTTTGCACCGGCTATATCGAAATGTTCGGTGAGGAATCTGATTTCGTTTTGGAGTGCAGGATTGTGTGTGTTTGGTGTGTATTTCTTTGTGTATCTTTTCAGATTGTTGGTGAGAATTTTGGTGAGTTCTTGTGTTGCGCTGGATACGTTGTCTGGGTTGGTGTTGCATTCTTGGGAAATGATACTGAGGGTCTGTTCCCAGGCCAGGTGACATTCTTTCTTGATGGGTTCGGGGTTAAGGGGGAAGGGAGGGATGTGGTTGAGTCCATTGCCTATGAGGGCTTTTAGTGTCGGATTCTTGATGATAGTGGTGTCCATTGTGACAACGTGTGGTTTCATATCTTCGGGAAGGAGGCCATTGGCTAAGTCTATGGTGTAATCTTGCCATCGCGGATGTTGGCAGAAACACTGTTGTCCTTGTTCTTGGTGCCACTTTTGGAGGTCAAATTTGGAGAAGATGGCGGCTGGTCTGTAGAGGCGGTTTGAGATGTGGATGTATAGGTCCAACCATAGGTGATATCATCGATAGCATGTGCATGCTGGGGGGTATGCTTACTGAGGAGATATTTAAAGACTGTTTTAACCTTAATTCTTTCAAACAGGCGATTAGCATAGTGCAAGTGGATGATGTGTTTTATAGGCTCATTTTTTCTGCGCCAGCCAAGTCTTCCGTGTGGCATCTGGAGTAGTTCGCCGGGGGGGACCTGCAAGGACAGCAATTGGCAGGTGATATCAAGTATTAGGAGGATAATTTTTTTTTGGGGCGGAGGGTTTGTATTTATTAGGGGGGGGGGTTGGTGAGCGGTTTTGTGATTGGTTTAGGGGTACTAAGTGTAGTGCTAGAATGTCAAATTGAGGGGAGGGAAAGGTCAGTAGGATATTTTGAAGGGCAAATTATGGAGCATAGGTTATTGTGGGTATAAGGGGAGGGTTTGTGTATGGGGATGGGTCCGGATGGGGGGTGTGAGGTATGTGTAGTAAGTTCGTTTTGAGGGTATTTTGAGGCTGTATCAGAGCTAGCACCTTTTAGAGTGTTATTTTGTTATAGCAGTGGGGGAGTAGGGATCAAAGAATGGGGGGGTCAGGAGAGGAACTGAGGGTCTTATTGAAATCGAGGACAGGGAGGATGGGGCAGAGTTATGTAGGGTGGCGTGGTCTACAAGCATTGTAAGGGAGTGGGTACTGAGTGTATGGCGGAGACACATGTGTGGATCTGCAGTATTCTACTTTCAACACAAAATAGAGGCAACAACAAAATTTCAGTTTGTTACACCAAGGGCCGGGTGTTGGGTTATTATAAGCTAAGGAGGAAAGCGCAAGATAGTGCGGGAGAAAAGAGAGAGAGGGAGAGAGAGAGAGAGAGCGCGCGAGAGAGAGTGTGTAAGAGGAAGAGAGAGAGTGTGTGAGAGAGAGGGAGAGAGTGAGAGAAAAAGTGAGGGCAAGGCACCAACAACCCTTCATAAAATCCATACCTACTCAGTTAATTTTTGCAACTTTTTCGAAATTGGTTAATCCAGTAAAACCATGAAAGTGTTGAAAAAAATGTTTCATAAGTGAACGGTTTTTATGTTCTAGGGCTCGATTTGCTTGCTAAAAAGTCCCTGTCATCAGAAAAACATAATCCATATAATCTAATTATGAATCACCCTTCTATAGACTTAAAAAAGTCTAAAAAATGTAGTTCAGCAGAGCGCTGTATAATTCTCAGCAATGGAAGCCAGCAGGAGAAGGAAGCAGAGAGATTGTGTATGGACGGGAGAGGGAGCGCAAGAGGGAGAGAGAGAGAGAGAGAGAGAGAGAGAGAGAGGGGGGGGGGGGGGGGGGGTGAGTGAGCAGGAGAATGAGAGAGATCGGGTGTGATCAAGGCGTCTTATTTATATTAAAATAAACTAAAAAATGCAGTTCGGAGATAGCAGCAAGGTACGAGTGGTATGGTGAGAGTATGCTGCATTATTCTCAGTTTGTGGAAGAGAGCGCGAGAGGGAGGAAGGGAGGGAGAGAGAGCGAGCAAGAGAGAGAGAGAGAGAGAGAGGAAGAGAGAGAGGGAGGGCAAAAGAGAGAGCGGGTGCGAGAAAAAAGCGGAACCACGAGGAACAATTATTTTTATGTAGCATGATAATGCTGTTACAAGTATGGGGGCAGTTTTCAGGTATCTGAATCAGTGCCCAGCTTCATTCTGCAGAACTGGTGGGGGGGCCTCCCGTATGAAGGCTGCAGCTCGATAGCACCCGTGCTTCTTCCTGGTAGGCATGTAGATGCAGGCTAGATTACCGCTGGTCTTGCAGTCTTGATGGTAGGAAGCTATGATTGCTCAGTCTTCAATGAGGGAGAGCTCTTCGTGGGAGAATTGTTGGGTCAGGTTGCGCCTGATGGTCTTGGAGTGGCTGCGGACATCGGGTGTTTCTTGCACGACATCGGTGGTGTAGCTATCATCTGCATTGGGATCTATCAATGAGCATTCTACATCATATGGTTCAAGGAGGAAGCTGATGGGGTTGACTGCTCTTGGGGGGGTGTCAGGTGAGGGGGAAGCGAGGACGATCAGGTTGTGGGGACGTGTACCCTGGGGTGGTGGTGAGCTGGGGATTGTTGCTGGGATCGGGTTGTGTGGGTTGTTATGTTGTGAGAGAAAATACGAGAGGGTGGGGAGCCAGGAGGTTCGTGGGGGTAGAGGCTGAGATGCAGTATGTGTGTGGGTGTGGGGATTGGTGGGAAGCGGTAGGAGTGGGGGTTGCTGCTGGGGGGGCTGGAGGGTGTTGTGGAGGAATTGTGCAGCTTGTGCATTTGTGTTGTGCTGTGGGTTGCTGTCAGGCTGTGCAGGAAGAGCAAGTTGCGGCTGGGGTTGGGTGGCCAGGGGCTGCTGCTGTTGCGATGGTATGACTGGCGGCTGTTGCTGTGTCAGGGGTGCAGAGTGTTGCTGCTGAGCCCTTCTCGCTGCTGCGATTTTTTCTCTTCTCTTCTGCCACCTTCCCTTTTGGGATCTTTTGCTTGTTTGCGGGTTGTTGTGCCTTGTCTTGCGTGGGGCACTAGTGGCAGCAGCGTAGGGGAAAGTTGCGGGGGGTGCAGTAGTGGTGGTGGTGGTGTTGGTAGCTGATGCTGGGGTAGGCTATGGCTGGTGGAGCGGAGGGGTGGGTAGGTGTTGTGGTTGCGTAGCAATGGGGGGGTG